TGGGGGGTTGGGGGGTGGCATTCATATGAGTTGCTGTATCTTTTAGCAAGAAATATGATTCCAAACTTCACAATAAGCTGGCCTATTTTGAATTCCAGGACCTCTGTACCTGTATGCCTGACCTTTTCCCTCCTCACCCCTGCATGCCTTCCACCCCCTAGATACAGCCCTTGGAGAAGTGAGGCATTGAGCGCTCAAAAAACGACTCTCCTCCCAGCAGGATGCTATCCAGCTGACCAGTCTGGGCCTGTGCATCGTGCATGCCTGCTGGGTTTGTTTCTTGACTGTCCATCAAATCCAGTTTCAGCGTTCACCCCTATTGAGATTTATGTCTTCTCCTGTTTGCACAGTATCTGACCTCTTCCCTCTCCTTCTATACAATACTGAGAATAAAATAGAATAAAGCAGTAAAAGAAAACAAATCATATAACAAACACAAACATCAAAGCACTCCCTGAGCTTCTGCAGTCAGGGAGTTGATGAATATTGTCTTAGAGAAAGTAGCCTCATGTCCAGCAGAAGAATCAGATTTCTGTGAAGACCTCAATCAGGAAATGATTTTCTTCTACAGAAGGAGCATATTGGATGCCTCTCCCCCGCACTGTGTGAATACAATGCTGACAGCTGCAAAGGACCCAGCTCAAAGAGTGAGAAGCTCTTGCCACTGATGACACATAATAGTGGCAGATCTTTTTATAGAGAAGATTGGAGGTCATAAAACCCCACTAAAAGCAGGTGATAAAGATTTGAACTTGAAACAAACACTAAAGCTGAGAACTATAAGAAAATAATCTCAAATTCCTGAAGAGAACAACTTTCTTAGTAAAGATGCTTTGGAGCAAAATAACATGGGAAGAAAGAACAATTTCTGATGTCATGTAGAAGTGGCACCCATAGGGTACAGAAAGCAGAAGTTTTTTTCTGAGCCGTAATAGATAAGCATTCGCACCATTTTTTTAAACAAGGATGGATAGGAAATTGATATCAGATTTCACTGCGTATGGTGTATCAATACTAAATATATTGTGATGGAGACTTGGCAGCCCTCCCGTGCTATCTTCAATTTCAGCTCAGTCTTCATTTGTTTTACCTTGATAGATTATAGTAACTGTACTTTGTGATGCAGCTTAACACAGGGCACTTGTGTTACTGCAGAAGTTTCTGTCCAAGAGGGAAAAATAAGATGTACACCGCTAAAGCTGTGCTGAGCATGCAATAGAATTGCTAAGTGTTAAGAGTTAAGAGCTAGTACTCCTATCCGACATACCCAACAATGCTAATGGTAGCTGTAACTTAGTGCCAAACCTTAACTCTTCTTGTGTTCATCTCTGGTTTCTGAATGAAGAGCCTTTTCAAGTCTAATCCATTCTACTTTTTGAGGCCTGTTCTTCTTTATAAACCATAGCTGAGGTTGTATTCCCTACCTTTCATTCAAAAATCTTTAGAAGCCCCTGCTCACTGTCAACTCTTTGCTTTCAAGGTCATGCCAACCAGACCTGCTGTGAATTACCAAGTACTCATCTTGTCCATTTCTGCTATCTAGTTATTACCTACTCCAATCAACCTGAATTATAATGTTCATGTTTTCTATGTTTCTGTCATTTTCTTTCAGGCATTTCTCTTGGTTGGGATTGTAACTCACCCACCCTCATGTCTGTATGCCCAAATTCCACCTATCCAATATGATCCAGGTCAAGAGCTTCATAAAACCACAGCCGGAAGCCATCTGTTCCTTCTCTAAAATCCTATCTTTACATGTATTTTTCACATGAGGCCTAAGACTAATTTCCTATATTTTTAGTCATTTATATACTGAAACCTCATAAACTTCCTAAAAGCAGGGGCTCCACAGACTGTCACAGAAGGTCTTGGAATTAGTAAGTATGCAATAAAACCTTTGTTTGAATAAAAAAATGCATAAGTCATTCTTGTTCTCTTTTATATTCACATTGAGGTATAAAGGCTCATTAGAGATCTCTACATCTATGTATATCTATGGGACTATTACTATAATTTAGATATATATATCAAGTCAGTCAACACTAAGAATTTTTTTTTTTAAAAAAAGGTCCAGATATATTGGCACTGTGGCATTACCTTCCAGGCTCACATATTCATGGATGAAATAGTACACATTAAGTCACCAAAAGATGTCCTAGTTGGAAGTAGGGTTGTGATATTACATTTCGACATATAACATGGTTTCTATAGGAATAAAATAACTATTTGTACTCTTGTTTTAAGACTCTAATATACATATTTAAAAATATATGTTCCTCATAATTTGAGTGTTTCGATATAGTCTGTGATAAAAGGATATTGTGTTCAAATAAGATTGAGTAACTATGCACATTATGTCTTCCTCTTGGAAATTCATAATGTAAAGTGATAGATTAAAGGTTTCCAGAAATCAGATAGCTTTTGAAAAGGTTGCTTAACCTTCATTAACCATGTTATCCTTGGCCTTTTTCATATAACAGTTATAAGTATCCCAAGAAAGAAGTCTTCTATAGAAATAATTGAGAAACTACCAGTCTAAAACATTATTTGGATGCAAAACCCAAATAATTAGTTTTCATTCCACACTTAGGCTGAAGTATTTACAATACTTTCTTTTTGGTCTATAAATGAACAAATGGCTTGTGATGTTAAGTGCCAAGGCAGAGATGTTGGGTGGGCCTGCACCTCTGTCCACAGCATGTACCTGTGTATAAAGAATATAAATAACAGGAGTATGGGCGTGTGGAAGCATCCCGTTGCACTCTAACTGCTGGCAGAAGTAGAAGCGGGGTCTAAATATGCATTTATCAGATCTCAAAAGCCATTTCTGCTGCAGCATTCTTTCTTCTGCAGTTGTCTTTGCTTTGTCCTTGAAACCTCCCTCGTAAAGATGCTCTGGCTCACATGTACCCCACTTATTTTGTTATGATTTATAACTTTATTCTAAATTCTTCAACCATACTTACAATTAATTACATAATTCTATTTCCATAATGTTATATAACACATTCTCCTACCCAATCCCACATCCTGTGGAACTATATTAAAACAATAAAGTAATTATAGCTGAAATTCATTGGTATCCTAGTTAGAACATTTGGTTCCAACTATCACAGAATAACCAAATGTATAATAAAATTTACAAGAATAAGTCTAAGTGCTTTAAATTTATTTGTACCCATTTTGAATGGTGTCATATAACTAGGATATAACCAAGTATGCAATAAAAGTTTGTTGAATATATGAATGCATAAGTCACTCTTGTTCTCTTTTATAGTCACAAAGGCACAGAGAAGCATTCGGAACAACTATATCTATATATCTACATGTGTATGTATCCATATGTCTCTATATAAGCTTATAAACTGAGTGGTATGCAATTACAAAATGCGACTGTGATAAAATTATTAACCAACATGAGAAAATAGAGTATTCTGATGATAAATTAAATTCTAGAAATGCTTCGCTAATAAAACTCTCTCTCTACGCACCATCTCAAATATTCTAATGTAAAAGACAGAATAGTGTAAGAGTTGGAATAGCATAATATTGGATATCAAAATGTAGTGAAAGTAGAGAAGAAAGTTCAGTCTGCAAAAACTTATGCAATAAAATGCCTAAATGTGACAAAGGGTGACACATTTGGATAAGAGTGGACAAAGAGAAAGAAGGTCCATCTTTACCACTAACATAACATATATTTCAAATCTATCGGAAAGAAGGCTCGGTAATTCTAGGAACCATTAAAGATCAAAATTTCCCAGAATTCTAAGAAAAGTAGATAAACATTCAGACTCATATTTGTATCCTTGAGTTTGGGATCACTTCCCAAATCAGATGGCTAAATAGAGAAGGTGTTAATTAAGCAAACACATTGCTCTATCTCAGAACAACTAATGGTTTAATAGCTACTCAAAACTATTGGTTTAATGGCTCAAAAAGAATGCAACATCTGAGACTGACCTCACAAGGAACAAAGCTATTCAGAGTATGTGTAAAAGTTCTCTTTTAAAGGAAAAAGAAAACAATAATATAAAATTAAGAAATGGTAATCTTTTAGGTAGAATTTTTAACTAGTTGCTTAAGTCTATCTTCATCTAAACATGAAAATGGAAAAAAAAAACTAACATAGAGAATATGATAATATGAAAAACAATGAGAATTATTCCAATATACTTTCCATATCCCTCTCATTGGTAATAGTGTTTTTTAGGCAGAGAGTATAAAATACAAAACTATTAGTTATTGTCCCGTGATAGTAGAGTAAAGCTTTGAGGTTTTAGTCCCCCATTAAATATCTCCCAGAGGGCCAAAGCAGACCTTCGGAGTTCTGTTATTATTTTTCAAAGGTTGTCATAAATCATTCTTAATTGCAGAATCTACAGGGGATAAAACATTTTGGGGTTAGATAGGAATAAGCCCTCTTCTAAAAGTTGTTGCCAATGTCCCTATCTTTGTGACTCAATTATTGCTATATTTTACTTTCTTTTAAGTTACTAGGAGAACAGCACCTTTGAATTATTGACTCACTGCCAATACTAGTGGCAGTGTACACGACATGACCCAGTATAATCAGTGGAATTAGACCATGCCTCTTCTGATTTCCCTTTAAACAAAGACAACTTGTTTTCCAGGTAGATGGTGGAACTTGAATGAAGGTAGAACAGGGTTTGATATAGGACTGCTGTTACCAAGATACTCAGGTTTTCCTAATAGGGAACTATAACTACACATATTCAATAGCCCTAAAACTAAAACCAAGGTGCACATTTCAAAAAATGTGAAGTCCGAATGGATGAAATAGATACCATCTTTCTTCCAGGACCCCTGTAGTATTAGGACAAGAAACTACAGTTGGTTAAGCGTTTGCCTACCACATATCCCAATGTGATTCCAGTTCACTTACAAATGCCTAGCACATCTTTTCCGTGCATTATTTATGAAATAGTGCTCAAAGTGGATAACAGTGACATATAAGCAAACACGTATGGAAGAGAGAGTGAATCAAACTGGTGGTAAAAACATGACCTTCCTCCATAAGGTCAAATAGTTTTATTTTGATTAAACACTACAATACAGTATATATCCATTAAAAAAGAAAACTCTATAGTGTATATAAATTATTCCTTCCATTCATCAATTCTTTTCTTTTCCATTACAGCTTTGGTACAATATGAGTTCAGTATATAATTTTTAAATACTTTTAGCATCACAAACTCAACACAAAGTACAAAACTAATAATCCAAATTAGGGATATTATAGTCTACACAGTGGTATTCAGTGGTAGGAGAAAATCTTACCTTGATGAATTCATGTCACTAGCTAAGCTATAAAGGCATACCTAGCAGACATGACAGAAATATGCACCATTAACCAGCTAATGTGTGTATTAGTCTTTTTTTTTTTTTTTACAGAATACCAGCAGCAATCATTTGAATGTCGAGTAAGTACTTAAGTCCTCAGCCAGTTTTCCCACCTTGCTCCTCTTCACTTAAAGACCATGAGTAGTATCTGAAGAAACGCACCATAGCCAAAGAGCTCAGAATTTCACCTGCCACCCAGCGTTGTTTATACTCGCACAGTTTGTCCTGCAGCTAGCCGACATCACAGGGACAGTGCTGGAGGGACAGTGTGGGCCAATCAGCCTAAGGTTGTTCTGAGGGGTTGGCGGTGTGACATTACAGTAAACAGGCATTGCACTGGCTGGTAGTGACCCTTGACCTGCCTGGGTAGGTAGCATGATTGGCTGTTGGTATGACTGCTGGGGCAGCCCTTGAGAACCCTGGGTCATTGGCACCTGTAGAAAGACACAAAGAGAAAACCCTTCATAAAGAGGTTATTTTGGGGTACCCAAAGAGCTACTGTGGTACCATAAAAAATCTTCAAGCATTTGAATTAGACTTAATAGTTTATCAATCCCAGCTCTACCTTTATTAGCTGTTTCACATTGGGCAAGTCACTTAATCTCTCTGATTTCCTAGATCATTTGCATAATGACACCTACTTCAAAGTACCACTGAGAGGATTGCAGGAATAATGTACAGTATTTGGTACACACCTGCCATGCAGTAAATGTTCAGAAAGTGTTAGTTCTAAGCTTCCTTCCTTCCTCTCTCGTCACCCCCCAGGGACTGCAGTCTGGATCTCCTACTCTGGATTTCTCTCAGTTTGGAAAGTCATGCTCTCTCTCTGGTTTTATGCAAGCAAAGTATCCCGGAGCCATCTATAGGAAGAGGGGCTTTTGTCCCTGGCACCTAACTCACTCTCAGCCTGCAGCTTTAGAAAACATCTTATATGGAGATAGAGGTAGAAACTGATACAATGTGAATAAGAACTGTCAGGAAGGCTGAAGATAGATGCTTTAGGGCCAGAAGTACCTGGTACAGCTAAACTTAATGATCAAAGAATTTCACTAACCTTTCGTTTTCACATCCAGTGTATTTCAAGATGTAAATTACAAAAAAAAAGGTGCGCAGTGCTTTTTCAATACTCAATATATATTTAGTCTGGGAAACGCAGTTGTTAGGCCTCGTAAATGCCCTTTCAATGAATGTGAGATGTTTATATGGAGCCACACTTAGTGGGGCATTCAAAAGCTGCAGTACTTATAGAAGCATACATTTCCCATTTTCTATTTATGTGTTATAATCTCTATTCAAAGTCAGCCATCAACAGTGGCTGTGCCTAACACCCACCACCCAGTCAACCACCTGACATGGGTACAGACCCACGCCCTCTATTTTTGCAAATGCTACTTTATAACCCAAATTCCCATGCTGCGGATATGCACCTGATAAGAAGACATTGTTGGGTAGGAGACCATCACACTTTGCACCGGAGTTCCTGGCTGGTTGCTCATCACGCTCTGACTCTGAGGTGGCTGCTGCACTCCCATTAGGCTTTGGAACCCCTGTTGACCAGACAGGACTGGCTGGTAACCTGCAGAGAAAAACCACCTTTTGAATGGGTTGTGCCAGGAAAACCACAAGTGATATTTGCTGGAGTGAGAGCACTTGTTTACAAGGCAACCTTCAGACATCACAATCTCGACATCGGGAATGTGTTATCTAAATGTTCATTTTGTAAGAATGCATTGTGTGTGTGTGTGTGTGTGCGCGCGCGCGCGCGCGCGTGCACGCTTCTAAGAGTAGCCAAGAATATGGCTCAAAAAAATTGACTGATATTTCCATCCTTATGCAGAATGGTTCAATGAGGATGTTGTCAAAATGGTAAATTCTTCATGACACAATGGAACAGGAACCTCTATTGACATTACTTGACAGCTATAAATCACAACTTTCATATATATCTTTTGCTTTGGTTTTGATGATATTCAGAGAATTCGCCCATTATCAGTTTTTCCTAATTAAATGGATTCATTCTCTTATGTTCATATTTCTGCACAACCTCATTTCACCCAGAGATGCCAATAGCCCATTAACTTTCCATGCATTCTATTTTCCATGTCTTCATGAACAAAATGGTTCACTACCCTGACTAATTCAATGTCCCTTGCCTTAGACAAGCAATGGCAATTGAAAAGTATGGAATCCTTTTAGTCTGTTTCATCACCAGCTCCCAAGAGAACATTCTGGTAGAACCCTCTAATAAGTGACCATGAACATATAATGGGTGATACAAAATGCAACATTTAAATTTATCTGTTTTGTATCCTTCTAAGTACATTATTTGGTTGGGTTTCTTTTCTTTTTTAGTGGACCGGAATTTATTCTAATTATTTTAATCCCCCCCCCACCACAAGTAATTTAAGTATTAATTTTTTTAAAATTTTCAAATTACAGTTGACATTCAATATTATTATATATTAGTTTCAAGTATACAGTATAGTGGTTAGACATTTATATAATTTACAAAGTGATCCCCTCAGTTAGTCTAGCACCCAGTTGGCACCATACACAGTTATTACAATATTATTAACTATATTTCCTAAGCTGTACTTTACATCTCTGTGACTATTTGTAACTACTAATTTGTTCTTCTTAATCTCTTAACCTTTATTACTCAACCCCCCAACCCCCCTTCCATCTGGCAACTATCAGTTTGTTCTCTATATTTATGAGTCTGTTTCTGTTTTGTTTGTTCATTTATTTTGTCTTTAGAATCCATATATAAGTGAAATCATATAGTATTTGTCTTTCTCTGACTTATTTCACTTAGCCTAATACCCTCTAGGCCCATCTTTTTTACATCCAAATTCTAGTCCATTGTATGTATGTACCACATGTTCTTTATCCAATCGTTTATTGGTGGGCACTTAGGTTGCTCCCATATCTTGACTAATAGTGTTTTGGATTTCTTCAGATAAATACCCAGAAGTGGAATTGTTGGGTCATAAGGTAGTTTTTATTTTTTGAGGAATCTCCATATTGTTTTCCAAAGTAGCTGCACCGACTTTCAACCCCACCAACAGTTCATGAGGGTTCCCTTTTCTGCACATCCTCACCAACACTTGACGTTTGTTGACTTATTGATGATAGTAGCCATCCTAACAGGTGTGAGGTGATATCTCATTGTGGCTTTAATTAACATGTCTCTGATGATTAGCGTTGAGCATCTTTTCATATGTCTATTGGCCATCTGTATGTCTTCTTTGGAAAATGTCGATTCTTAAAGGAAGGCTGTGAACTATTCTTATAAATGTTGAGAAGAAAGTGCTGATTTAGGTGAAAATGATATGGTGGCAGGGAAATAAAACAAATTCATTTCATGCTGTAAAATAAGGTCCTTTCAGAGCTCGTATTATTAACCATACTGAACACCTGAAAATAAATGCAACTGCTGTCTTAATATAATTCTCTGAGAGAGAATCTTTAAAATCCTAGATTTTCTTAACACAAATGCTAAACTAAGTTTTACAATCAGATTTTAAAAATTGAAACAAAGGGTAATTGAAACAAAGGGTTTCTAATCAATATGCACTGTTTATACATAACTACACTCTGAGTGCAAGTGAGAGTTATAACTATATTGAGTGAGATGGGGAATGATAAAATTATATTACAGTCTTTACAGAAGACAACAGTTTACTATCCTTGGCCATACAAAAACAGCATCTTCACTTATCCTAGATATATCGTGGAAACGAGGCTTGCAAATGGTCACTGAGTTAGGAGATCAACTCAATTCATCGAATGAGATGAAATAAGGTATAGCCATTCTGGAACAGCTGAGGGAGCATGCTTGGGAAAGAGCCAGGTTGGGAGGCCTGACCTCGGCCTGCGATCAGTGGGTTGGAGCAAGTGTGTAATTTACAAATTACCTGTTGACCTTCTCTATATATTCCATTGTTTTATGTTCATGTTACTCGCTCTACTTCATTTTCATAGTAGTTTTAATTTGTTGTTATTTTGAATTTTTGTAAAGACACTTCCTATTAAGAATATAATTAAGAGTAATGACCATCTTCCTACCAGCCACATTGTACCTAGATCGTCAAAGCCTTTCTTTAATATACTCTGCAGGTCTATTTAAGACTAATAACATCATTTCAGAGGCCTGCAAACCTAAAAGTGTTTACAGTTTATATGACAGGGAAAAACCATCAGACTTGGGAACAAGAAGTGCGACTAAAGCCACGTCATAGTCCTCGCTATCTCCCAAGATGCTTCATATCCAGAGGCACTTGGGAGAAATTTCTTTCAACATTAATTGTAAAAAAAAAAAAAAAAAAGTTTTTCATTATTTCCCATTGTGTAGGTCTTCCATTCTAGTTCATGTATCCACTGGCCCTGAAAATGTCTGTTTCTATATTATAATTTTAGTTTTACATTATTCCTAGTCACATCAAATTCGCTGTGACAAGAATTACGATATACATAAGAAAGTAACTTCTTATGGTTGTAGGAAACTTATGACAACAGTCTTCCTGACCATTTAGTGCTTTAGCAAAGACCAGGCAGTGTAAACATGTTCTCAAGTCCACGTAAGGGTGACTACAATAGAGTCTTATTTCCGGCTGAAGATTCAAAGCACAGGTTGAAAATGAGAGAAATGTCTTTTAAAATGGGGACTTATATTTGGTCATAGGTTGAAAGCCCAGCTGGCCTCAATGGACCCTTTGCAGAATACACATGGCTACCATGTAAATAGAAAAGAGGAGAGGAAAGGAGGGGAGAGAGAAGGGCAGGAGAGGTACAATGGCCTCGCTTCTAAATATTATTTATGTATTCGCTTATTGAATCCTTCCATCCTTTCACAGAGTCATCTTCCAAATGACTCTGTTTCACAGAGTCTGTTCAAAAATAAATTGAGGTTTCCTATAAGAAATTCATTTATTATACCAGCTCTAAACCAAAATTGGGGCGAAGTGAAAATAAGTCATGATAATAGAGATGTTAAGACAAACTGAAAACAGAATATCTTGGAAGGAGGAGGAAACACACATCAAATCATATTGAAGGAGAGAAAAAGCGAGGAGGTGGCGTGGCTTCTTCCCAAAAAAGGGGCAGAGCCTAAGATGGGACCATTCATCTTTGCACAGACACAGTGGCTGCAGTGTCTCCTTTCCAAGGCCTCCTCTGCCTGATGATTTGTGAACTTTAATATTCAGTTATGCATAGCAATGGGCTACCAGCTCTGCACTAGGCTTCCCACAGTAAACATACTTTGGACAAATAAAGATTGATGTAGGGAACAAATAATGCTCTACAATTTCGAAATGAAAACTTAAGTGTAAAGAAAGCCCAATTTATATTCATGAATCCCATCCATTACTTAATTCATTCTCCAGGCAAGAAATTTACACCTGGAATGGTTTAATTGGAGGTACCCATTTCTGTAAATTATGTTACAGAAGATAGGTGGCAGAATGGTCCTTAAAACAAGAGGCTATTTGAAATGTGAATCTGAGCTCTGGTTCAGGAATAGACAAATAGAAATGTGATAGCAGTGACCTAAGAATGAACTAACCGTGTCTGCATGGGACACAACACACCCGAAGGCAGAGATGCCTGCGCTGGTGGCAACCTGCTTATCTCGTCTATTCAAATGAAAAATGTGTTCCGGTTTGTCAATTCCTAGCTGTGAAATGATCAGTTTTTCATATTTATTGAAGATTAGCAAGATATAATACATCTTAGAAAACAGAAACAGCAACAGTATCTGCCCTGTAGGCATGATAGGGAGATTATAAAGGCATTAGCTATTTTTATTATTTTTCAGTCAAGATTAATTCAATTTTCAAGTCACATGTGTCATTTATTTTCTGAAAGTAAAAAGGTTAGGAGTGGACAAATGCCTCTTAGCAAATAAAAGAATGCCCTCTGCTAAGATTGAGGAGTTATAAGATTTAAAATGTCTGGATCTTATAAATTTGAAATTTTAATAGTGTTTCTACTAAAATACAATAGTCATTGAATATTATTTGTAGTTGGAGGATAATTCATTAATATTCTGTCAAGGAAATATTTCTTGTGATATAGCACAATTATGAAAAATCAGAATGTAAATTGATTAGGGATTATAAATGGGCATGATTGTGAATGACATTATTTTAACTCTTATTTGAATACTGTTACAGATCCAATACTTTAGAAATGAAAAAAATGACATAATAGTACCCTGTACTTTCAGCTTTTTGTTTCCCTGGCTGTTGTTGGTTCTGGAGGTTGAATATGGGGAAGGGTGTATTTAAGAGGGCAGATATCTACAGAGTAAATTAATTGAGAAGCTAGCCCATTCTCATCCTCTCTCTCAACCACCCAAGCACTGTAATTTTCATGTCGTGTTCATTAAGGGAAGTATTCTTAATATGGTAGAATATCTTTTCAAATGATTAAAGTTAATAATCTGCTTAATATAAAAATCAGTTATCTTGGATGAATGAAAATACAAATATTTTCCCAAGTTCCTAAAGAATCAATTAGCTGTTTGCTATGAATTTAAACTCCACTCTTTGTACATAATTTTGAGATTGAATT